AACTAAATAAGACTAAATGATAATAATAAAATAAATAATAAAATACAATATCGAAATAATAAACTAATAAAATAATAGCCTGTTCTATAACAATCCAATTAAACTAATCAAATTAAGAATAAATAACCAATTAGTATACAAATTTATACTAATAAAAAGTTTTGTTTTTTTAGTATATTGTTAATTAATGTTACGGATTATCGTGAAATCAGATTATCTTGAAATTTGCGGGTCTCGATTTGAAAATATAAGTCCTACCAAAATCCATCTATACTCTTTTATCAATAATTCTAACCCTAAATCCTAACTTAACTATAAAAAAAGCCTACAAAAAAGGCTCTAAAAAATTTTAAAAATTGTACATAAAATAGATCCAAATTTCATGATAATCCGATTTTATGATAATCCGTGACAATTAATAAATATAATTTGTAATTATATAAAAACTAGCTGTAAACCTATTGCAATGCAACAGAAAAAATATTAAATAATTATTTAGTTTAAATTAGCTATTACAATACTTAAAACTATTATTAATTTTTAAAAATATATTAGATACTATAATAGTTGGCTAGCATTATTCATATAATTTTAACTGATATTAAACCAATATTAAAGTATAATATAGGCAAACTTAATAATAATATTCTAGATAATTTTAGTTAAAGATTTTTTAAATTTATATAACAAATTATTTTTCTTTTGGCCCAAAGATTTTTAATTAAAAAATTCTTTTTTAATTCTATAGTATAAAATCTGTGTTAATTATTGGCTATATTATTATTTAGAATACAAAAGTCTTAGAAAATTCCAAAATTTTTAGATTACATATTTATAGAATAACTTTTGCAAAAGTTTTTTAAAACTAATTATTATTTTTTTAGATAATAAAAGATGCTTTGTGTTTAAATTAAATCAGTTTTGGAATATGTAATCTTTTAGTATATTGCAGATTATTTCTATATCAGTAAAATATCTGACTAAATTTAGACTATATATACAATATAGATGATGCTAGACAGATCAATAAAAATTTCTTTATATATGTAAGTGCTAGTTATTCAAGTTTTTTAAAGTAAATTAAAGATATGATACCGAATCATAATTCTAATTAAATGTTGGGTGGTCTTATATTATTTCACAAACATGCATATCTATGAAATAATAGGTAAGTTTCATATTTACTTTATAATTTATATTTTATTATTATTATTTTGTAATCATGTTTATTTGAATTAAAACTCAGATGTCTTAGAATTATGATCATAATGATGATCATATGTTGATAACTGTCCAATTGATCAAATATAGTAATTAGAAATGTTATTACTGCACAGATACATCTATGTACTCCACTTGATTTGGAAATTTTGCTTTTTATTCAATTAGCATCCATTATGTCGAATTTACACAAATGATCAGTGTGTAATGTTAAAATTAGACCGATTTAAAAAATTACTTTTATCTTGAAATTTCACTTATAAAACTATCTACTGCATTCTAGCGAAAAAAATTTCTTGTGAAAGATTAGTATAGTTATTTATTTTAAAGCCCTACTCTTACTATATCACTAATTCTAATACTAATTGATGGTATTTGGTAGGTCAAAAATATATTATTAATTCTAGTCCAAAAACTTTCTTGCCTTAGTATACGTAATTACATCATAATAATTAAATAAATGTTAGATTTGCTAAAAAAAGAAATCAATTACGATTGTATTACAGTTAGTTGATTGATCATCTACAAATTGAAATTTAGTTTTTTCATTGTTATCTGATCTGTCACCTATTACGGTTACTGTATTAAATAAGGGATAGTTAAATAATAACAGGAAACTTAAGCAAAGTATTTATGAAAACATTACTTTTTAATTATGAATATATTTAGGTAAAAACTTCATAATATACAATGTTTCTTGTTTGATAGTTTTGACTCACATTTGAGTTTTCGGAAGTAAAAATCTTGATACTTCGATAAGAAATTACTCTTGATAAAGCAATGTACAATTGGCTGTGCGAAAAAACTAACTGCAGTAGATAGAGACTGATCTGTACAAGTGTTTGGCCCTGTGATTTGTTAATAGTCATACAGAATGCAATATGCACTAGAAACTGACACTATTTTAAAATAAATGGTAAATCTGTATCTGATAGCGTCAAAGTTACTCGAGAGATGAAAATGCATTTTTTAATATGTGTTCTTGTAATTATCTTAGTATCTATAACTTTGCTTTGAAGCTCATAACAAATTAGCCTAGTTCTATTGCAAAGTCCTTGTGCTGGGTCCAAGTTACATAGAAGTAGGATAGATATTTCTACTTTTAATTTTAATTCACTAGATGGAAAGCCAAAATTTTTTGAAGATCTTAAGAATTCTGGTGAATATATTTGAGACTGTTCTGCATTACTATCTTCTATTAAACTCCATCGTCTGTGCTAGGATATGTATGAAGTTCTCCAGGAAACTGATCCATTAGCAAACTTGATATATTCTCAACGTTATCATTTTTTGGTGTTAAAATAGCTCTACTAACAATATAATTTACATTGTGAGAATTTTTAACCAAATTGGGGTAGACGAAGTCGATAAGATCTGGCAATTTACCTCTAGGTATCGCTATGTTTGAGGAGAGTTCTATTGTGTCTTTAGTGCCTAGAATGATTGGATAATTATCTTCTCCAATTTTTAAAAGGAAATTGGCAAGTTGTTTTTGTCTCTAATTCTCATTATAATTAATTGATAATTTCATTACTTTAATATGTCTCTACAAAAATAATTTACAGAGGCTTGCAGTGACAACTTTAGCGTGAGATGCATATGGTATAACTAGAAGTATCTGATGAAAATCTCCACCAAAAACAAAGACCTTTCCTCCAAATAGTCTATCTACTTGAACAATATCACGAAAAGTCTGGTCGAGTACTTCAAATGTGAATTTATTGACCATTGGAGCTTCATTCAAAATAAAAAGCTTCACTTCATTAATTAAACAGGCTTTTTTACTTCTGTGTGAAATATTACAGGTCAAAGATTTATTTGGTTTAAGTAGAATCTTGAATTGACTGTATGCAGTACGACTACTACTTATTAAAAGTGTGGCAATTTCAGAAAAAGCCACTGCTATAGCAATTTCTCTACGTGACCTGATATATGTTAACAGAACATTATACAGAAATGTCTTGCCAGTACCACCTGGACTACCTACAAAGAAACACCCAGCTTCATTTTCAATGGCCTGTATTACAGCATTATATATTACATATTGATCTTTATTTAATAGAGGAACATTTTGGTTTAGTTCATTTGCTAACTGTATGACGTTATATAATCTTTCTTCTTGTATTAATTGGTCCAAATCTTCATTATAGTTAGAATTTAGCATCCTTTCTAGAAGTAATGGCATATTAGGGAAGTTTTTTAACGATTTACTGTTTAATATAAGATAGCATTCTAATTGACGAAGTGCTTCCTATTTAATTCTTTCACTTATTATATTATCTTGATTTTGTGTTAGTTGAGTTCTTTATATAAAATATCTTCACACAATGCCACTTTGTGATTATTCCACAATATTTCAGGGTTCTGTGATTGACAGAAAAGAAGAATTGTTGCAAAGAGATACCATAATTGTTGTCCCCTATATACACTACTTGCTTCTAATAAACATGCATCCCATTCAGTATTATCTTGAAGAAGGCCCAGGTGAATGCAAGCTTCTTTGAAGCTTGTACATAAATATCTTTTTATAGTTTTCAAATGATCAAAGCCGGTAGCACCTTTCATACAGGTAAGTAAAGTTCTTAGATAATATCTTTTCTCTTTTGAAGGTTGTACCATATAGAGCCTTCTGGTAGCAGCTGTTGCATTTTTTGGGCTTCTATTATGTTGAGACAGATTCCAAGTATAATAAGCAGAGAAATTGATATATATATATGTACGTGCTGAGGTATTATTTGTATTTTCTTGAAACTAAGATATTAAAGTCATCCTATATATGTTAGCACATTCTACAATATATTGAAGATTTTCTCTATCTTGAAAAAGAACATACTGCTCTTCTAAAAGATGTACTGCAAGTTTTTGTATCTTGAAATGGCCATATATTTTAAAATGAAAAATTTTCCTGACTGCTTCTGAAGCTAAAATGTATCTCGCATCAAGGTATATTTTGATTTCGTCAATTGGTTCAACTTCAGTTGTTACCTCTTGATTTTTATTACTACCAGGTTGAAAAAGAGTAATAGTTACCCAATTATGACCTTTATAAATGTACTTGTACAAATATTTAACTGCTGAGATAGAACTACAAATTTTAACATTAATATGGGTATTATATTTTGTAACTAACTCGATATTATTCAGTACAACACATATATTATTTAATTTAATTCTATTAGCTTCAACAAAACAATTTGTTTGCCGCCTATGGTAGGTGAGGTATCCATTTTTATTTTCTTGAGTATGTTCTTGAAAACTTTTGGGATACCGTTTTTGACATACAATATCTTTCATACATGGTGTGATTGGGTTTGATATACCACGTGAGCTATGCATTATCATAGTTGATACTATCTCATATGCAAGAGAGTATAATACAGGGTTTGAAATTTCAGCAAAGACAATAGAGTCATAATTATCTGTGGACCTTAATTTATCATCTGGTGGAAGTATCAATAGAATATTTATATAAGGTAAACCATATTTTTGGAATTTAATAATATATATATATGCAATAACTCTACCAAGATGATGATTGTGACATAGGTCTTTTAATAGTTCTTGTAATTTGATATGAAATACTCGAGTTGTTAAATTAGGTCTATCTGTAGCAGTTTGGTTAGAAAATAACTCCCTTGTAATTTTTAGCCATTTAGAATTGCAAGTAAAAGTTACAAAAAGATTAGGCTTTCCAAAATAACATACAATAGCCATAGTATCCTGGTATAACTAATATATTTGGCATGACCCACCTGCAAATGATGATGAAAGGATTATATAATGACCAATATTGTTACTTCTATTACCTGCATGTATAGCATTCACAATATCTTTGTATAGTTCAGTTCGAAGTGACAGTTGGTTATATCTAATATAATTTAAGTGATTCTGCTCCATTTTAGCATATTGATCAACAACATATTGCTGATATAACTGATCAGCATGATGTAGCCAACCTTCATCCCTAATTTGTAATTGATAAGAGTAAAATTGCATTACAGTTACTCTTTCTCTTATAGAAGACCCAGTGAGAGACATTTCAGCATACCAACCGTCATCGGCTTTTGGAAATAATAATACATAATAAAGGGGATCATATGAGGGATATAACTCTGATATTCTTTGTAAATTTCCATCATGCAATCTAATAAGAATATCTCTATTAGAAGAATCTACCTCATGACTATCACCAACCATAATAGCTGCTACTTCAGATGCTATAGGAATATTATATTGGTGAGAATCTTTTGTTCTATCACCATAAATTAGCAATGAAACTTTGATAGTTGGATGACATCTCTCACTTGACAAAAATTTTGAATGTAGAGATTGGGTTGATCAAGCATATTTTGTAAATTTTGCAAAATTCCTTATCTAAATCTTGCATAATGTTACGTTGATTTTGATTCTTATGTACAGTATCATAGATGTATAATTGAGCGAATTTTGGCATATAGCTTTCTTCCGGTAATAAAGATCTAATACGATGATAGACTTGGCCATAAATTCGAAAGTTAGAGACACCCTCCCCTGAAATTCATCAATATTGGCTTCGAATGATATGCAAGCTAAAATATTGTTATATTTTCTAATATTTTTAAAAAATAAATTAGCAGTAGATTTAGATGAAGTGTATAGATTAAGCAAATATGATGGAAGCTCTAGTAAGGGCAGTAAGTGAACTTTGCTGTAGGTATAGCAAGTTGCAAATATTGGAGATCTCTAATTGCTACTATGATCTTTTTTTTTCATCCTAAATTTAGCCTCACAATAGGCACATGTTTGATCTATCCTTCCCAACTCATAATACGTTATTCAATTTCATCTTTAATTAACTTAAGTATTAATTTTATTTGTAGTAATAGGGATTTTTGCTTCTACTGACCTAATACTATCATTATTTAGAGTTGTTTCTATCATATTTGTGATCTCTACTTCTACTCTTGGTTCTGTATTAGTAACTTTTCTTCATCTTTTTAAATTTTTCTGCCTTTCTCTGACAAGTCTTTTTTGATACTACTTAACCGTTTCTATTATTTCAAATAAACTGTGCACTGAACTTAGGAGTTAATTGGAGTAAATGGTATATAGAATAGTATTCATGACACATACTGATTTTGTTATTCAAGTGTTTTAAATATTATCATTTAAGTATTTACTTTATTCACTTAAAGTTATTTAGGATTCTTAGAGAAAAGTAAGTACAGAATGTCTTTATTAAAGTCAAAATTTTTTTTTATTAAAAATTAAAATAAAATTTTTTAATTTTCTAGCATCTTAAATACTATTTCTACTACAGCTCCGACTTTATAAGAAAATAACACCATAAATGGATATTCTTTCCAAATTACAATTTTTTAATTTATTTGTTAAAGATTATTTTATTTTGTATGTTAAATCATATTTCTGTCAGTTTCAGGTCATGTCTGGTAAATAGAGGCTGGATCCATGTATAATATGAAAATTCACAGTTAGAAATGATATTTATTAAATATCTAATATTCAGTTATACAAAATTCATGAATAGTCGAGGGTTCGTAATTAATATAATTGATCCACATATATTCGTGAATATTCGCATGAATATTTGCATTTACAAATAATAGCATAGGTATCCATCAAAATCTGAATATTCATCCAATGCTATTCACAAACAGCCAAAACTCACAAATATTTACTAAATAGCCATGATAGATATTCAAAAGATCTGACCTCTACCGATATGCATATTAAGGTGACTTTGGATTTTTATACCATATTCTAACCTAATATTTATAAAATGATATTTTGGTTCGTAAATATAGTAAGTACAATATCTGATTTAGCCACTTTCATATATTATTTGGTATGCCTCAATTAATATAGATATTCACTTGTTTATGTGAAATTTAATTTTTGTGCTTGATAAATTAGTTGTGTATTTAAATTTGGATGCTATCTTTTATTTTCAACTATCACTTAGAAAGATTTTTTTAAGATTTTATATTTAAAGTGTAAATGAAAAATTCGAACTGTTAGTAAAACGCAAGCTTTTTAATTTATTTGATGTTTAGCAAATCTATCATTTATTATTTACTGTCAAATTTACCAAAACCAATATGCATTGTAAACAGAGTTTGTATTAGTATTAGAAGGGTATCATACTATGAACTATTAGATTTATATAGTATAATCAATTTAGAGATATGAGAAAGGTTTGTTTTAAAAAAAATACAGAAATTTTTGGCATAAGGTTTAGAATAAGTTGATATATAATCCTAAATTATAAAATTTTCAGATATCGAATATGTTGCAATGCTGGCTATACTTGGAGTTAGAGGCTTGCACAGGCTAAACAGAAATTAAAAAATTTTAAAAAAACTCGAAATTGCAGATCTAATATATCATAAACATAGTAAATGCGTAAAAAACATAATAAATTTTATTTGCAGGCCGGCAAAAGTACAAATTTTTAGGCCAATGCAGGCCCCTACTTGGAGTAGTAGTGGATATTTATATTAACATCAAAGTTTTTTAAAATTTTTTTTTATGTAATGTGATTTTTCTTTTAACAATAACAAAGTTGTAGATATAAAAATCATATTTAATCTATTCAGGGAAACAGATTTTTTAATTAAATACCATAATGTATTAACTAAAAAGACTTAGACATATGATGCTGAGGCAGATCTGTAGCACAAGAATATTTACAACCAGTCTAGAAAAAAACTTAGGTTTAAATAATAGAAT